GATCATGACCTGAGCCAAAGGCAGACGCTTATCGACTGAGCCACCCAGGCGCCCCTATTTCTCCCATTTTCAAGGAAACCCTCCTTGGCTCCACATTCTCCCCCAGCCTCTATCCTATTTCTCTCTGTAGAGAGAAACACCCTAAAGGAATTGCCCCTCTTTGCATTCTTTGCTCTCCCTCCCTGGTCCACTGCAACCAGGCATTCTTCCCCATAATTCCAATGAAACTGCTCTTGCCAAGGTCCCCCTTGATCTTCCCATTGCCAAAATCAAATCAATGCTCGGCTCTCATCTTCCTCGACTCTTCTGTTCTCCTTTATCTCAGGACACCACTCTCTTTTGGTTCGCCTGCCTCAGCAGCGGCCAATGCTTCCTCAGTCCGTTCGCTGGTTCCTCCTCGTCTCTCCAATCACTAAACATGGGAGCATTCCAGGGCTCAGCCTTCGGACCCTTTCTCTCTAGATACCTTCTCCCTTCTCAGCAGATGTCGTCCCTCCCCCACGACTTTAAATACCATCTTCAAATTTAGACACCCCCAACCTGCCCTAACCTATAAGCTCAACTCATAAATCCCAGCCTACTTGGTGTCTCCATCCAGATGCCTCGTAAGCATCCTAAATTACCATGTCTAAAATAGAAATCTTGGTTTCTGCCCCACACCTGCTTTTCTAGCAGTTTCCATATCTCAGTAAACAGAAGCTCAATTCCTTGGACAAAAATCCTTGCAGTCACCTTCAGTTTGTTTTTTCTCTCTCACTCTAAATCAAGGCCATGTGCACATTCTGTCAGCGCAACCTCCCAAACAGATTGCCACAATTCTTGCTACATCCACAGCTAGTTGCCAAGTCACCATCACCTCTCATGGACAATCACAACACCCTCCTGACTGCCCTCCCTGGGCCAGCCCCGTGTCCCCAACAGCTTGCTCTCAACACAGCAGCCAGGGGGATCCTTTTAGAACTAAAGTCAGACAAGGGTTAAGCCCTCCAAATGGCTCTCATCTCTCTCAGAATAAAATGCAAGATCGTAACCATGGCCTTCAAGGGACTAAGCCATCTGGCCCCTGGCCTTCTGTGTCTGAACTCATGTCCAGCATTCTCCACGCCAGCCACGAGGGTTTCCTGCAATCCCTCAAACTCACTCGTTTGCACTCACTCGTTTTTCTGTCCCAACTATCCCAACACCTACATGGCTCACTCCTTTGCTTTATTCACGTCGTCACTCAAATATCTTCCTGACACCAACGCTTCATTCCCTTCCCTTCTAAGCTTTTATCCTGCTTTATTTTTCTTTGGAATACACACTGGGCCTACCCGCCATGTTAGAGATTTTTTTATTGTCTGCTTGCCCCCATGTTCTTGTTCATTGCTGTATCTCTAGCATGGGTAGGAGGTACTCGACAAATATTATGTAATAAGTAAATAAATGACCTACTCCCTAACTGGGCGCTCTCATTTTAATCATTCTTACCTCTTGCCCCTTGCCTCTAGATTAATTTTTTAGAAGAATAGCTTTAATCCTTCTACTGCTCGGTTCAAACACCTCCTGTGACTTCCCATTGCCCGCTACATAAAATTCAAGGCCCCCTTGCCACCCCTTCCCTCTCTAGTCGTACCCCCTCTCCCTTCCTCCGCATGCTCATGTGCTTCTGCTAAACAGGACCTCTCAGTGCCCTGAATCTTCAATCATTCATCTCCTACTCCGTGCCCCTCCTACAGCAGCCTGCGTGTGGTGCTTGCTCTTCCCTCCGCCTCCAATCACCAGCGCCCCTTCCTTCAGGACCCACTTCAGTTTGTGCCACCTCCATGAAGCCTTCCCTGACCACTCCATCCAGAGAAGACCTTTCCCTTCCACAACAGCTCTTGCCTTGGGCAGCCTGGCACATGGGTTATGTCCGCCTGGAATCTGAGTTATCTGTCCGTTCTGTAGGCTTGTGGCTCCTGGCATTTCCATCTTTGTAAGTCCCCAGGGTGCCATGCTGCACACACAGTGGGTACCCCACACATTTCTGGGGACCGAACAAGTGCCTGCACCCCACCCCAGTGATGGCTCTGTTTGCCTGATACTCACGTCGATTTCACTGAGGATGACGTCGATGATGCTGCCGATGACAATCAAGAAGTCAAACACATTCCAGGGGTCTCCAAAATAGCCCTGGAAGGATAGTGATGGGAGAATCAGGGGGTGAGCTTTAGGGGGGAAGGAGTTTGGGTGGCCAGCAGGTGGTGGTGGCCCCCAGCCGAGGTAACGCAGAATGGCCAAGCCGGGCCAAGGTGGGGTGCACGTGGCTCTACTTTCTACCAGGGCTCCCTCATGCCCCCACACCCTGCTACCTCCTCTCCCTTGGGCTCTGTATTTCTCTCCCTCCAGAGCATGATGCGGTTGGAGGGGAGGGAGAAAATGGTTGAGAACTCAGGATTCGGGGTCCTGATCCGGATGGGGAACTCTTTTTCATCCTCCCCAGCTCGAAGCCCCGTCTGGGGCTCAATGGTGTGGACCTGCCAGCGGCTGGCCAGGTGGGCTGGGTGCAGTGGGAGTGGACTGGGGAACCAAAGACACAGCAAAATACTCCCCCAGCCCTGGGCCTCTTCTTCAGAAGCTGAAGGGGAGGCAGGGCACATAAGACATGCTCAACAGAGGGTGCAGGAAAGAGACAGCCAACACCTGTTATCATCACCAGTTCTGGCAGCCTGAATATCTTGCGTGCCCTATGTTTGGAGGTGGAAATGGGCCAAGGAGTAAGCAGAGTGGGAGCAGAAGTGCTGGATGAAGGAGCCCTTCAGTAGAACAAGACTGGGGTGGGGGTGCTCCGTGAGAAGACCCCCATCCCGCCAGGCTCCACCTGCTCATCTTGTCCTGTATCCCAGGGCTCACCCTGGCCTTGAACGCCATGAGCTTGAGGACCATCTCCAGGGTGAAGATGATGGTGAAGGCCACATTGAGGATGTCCGAGATGTGGTTCATCTCCTCTGACTGGTTGTAATGCTGTGGAGAGGCACAGGAGAGGGGGCTGCAAGGACCCGGCTTCCCCGCTTTGCGGGCTGCATCCCAGAGCTCCATGCTCTTCCCAGGCCGCCCCCGATCCTCTTCCTCGGGCTTCCTGCCCAATTTCTTTTAAATCTCAGAATACTAGGTGCCTGCTTTAGCCATTCCCTGAACTCCACCAAGTCTGATGGATCCCCCTCTCCCCCGAAGAGATGGTGCAAGGAGGAGGCGAGAGTCCTGCTGAGCAGGCTGGTCCACACGTGGGCTACAAGGCCAGAGCTCACTTCCAGATCTGTTACGGGACGGCCAGGAGGAGAGGCCCCCAGCAGGGCTCTGGGACAGGTTCCATCTAGTCATCCGAGCACAGGACCAGGAGAGAAGATCATTGGTTCTAGAGCTGGTATTATCAGCAACTGCTGGTATACTGGTGGGCCGCTGAGCTCACCAGGCTGACTATCTGCACACTGCCCCCCACCCCCTGCCCCGTGACGGCGAGGCAGTCGAAGCAAGGACCTCAGCCCCCGTGCCCCACCACTGTGAGCCTCCTTCAATCTATTTCCTTATAACAGTTGCCAGGAACCTCTTACTCTTTTTGGAAAGTTGACAAAATCCCACTTTTCCCACAAAACCTTCCCAGGTAGTTCAGAAGGATCTGGTGGCTGCCCCCACCCTACCGTGTCTTGGCAGGACTGCCTAAGTCTGTGCCCAGTTCAGACCCAAACTTGAGCCACTGCTCACGATCCTCTGTAGGACCTGGGCCTGCTGGCTCCGTGATTCCTTTTCCATGTCCTCATCACAGGGCAATGCGGAGTCCCGCAGCCGGGTGTGTCTCAGGGAGCCTAGCTGCACAATTCTATTTATACAGGCCTGGCGGGATCCGATGCTTAATTAAGGTTTGCTAACAATGCTGCTGATTATGATACTGTCTATAAAGTATGCTCAACTCCTCAGAGACACCTGTTCTGTGAATATTAAATCCATTTTTCTTGAGACCGGAGCCAAAATGCCAACCAACTCCATCGTCCACATTTGCAACAGCAGAACATAAACCGAGAAGGCACTCTCTACTTCCTACGCTGCCTTGTCCTTCTGCTTAGCCATCTCCTGTTTACAGAACGGTGTAGCTATTTGTGTGTGTGAATTCCTTCTTAATAAACCGGTGGGTGCCTGGCAACAAGGCCTGGGCCCAGGGCGCTTCTCTGTCCCCCACGGCACCTAGCAGGTGCCAGGAAAAGTACCTTGGGGGGCGGTGGGGGGGCAAGAGAGAGGAACCCTGCCCTACCCACCTGCCCTGTCCCGGTGCCGGTCCATCAGACCCTTGTCGGCCGGGGGCCGGGGGCCCTTACCTGCATGCCCAGGCAGATGGTGTTGAGCATGATGAGGGCAAACATCAGGTATTCGAAGTAGGAGGAGGTGACGACATACCATACCTGGTACTGGTATGGGTTTTTGGGGATGTAGCACCTCAGCGGGCGGGCCTTCAGGGCGTACTGCACACACTGCCGCTGAGACACAACACCAGAGGGCGGGTCAGCACGGAGGGCCCCTCCCTCGCTCTCACACTCACACGCATGGGCTGGAGGGCCCCCTGCATTCTGGTCAGCCAGGAGCAGCTGTGGCTAGGAGCTCGTGGCCGATGGGCTCTGCTGGCCTGTTTAGGGGAAGAGTCCCAGTGGGCCCGTGGGCTCCCCCTGTGTTCCCCCCAGCCTATTTCAAACATGGCCCTAGCCCCACTCAGGGCTCTGAAGGGCCTCCTCGGGGCATGATGAGGGTTTCATGAGCGGACTCCCACACCACCAACTTGTGTTGCTTCATGTTGGGGATGGGTCAGAGATGGGGTAGAGTGTGTGGAGGCTGGGTCTGGGCATGAAATGGAAGTTCTGGGGTCATCCTTGGCCCCAGGACTTTCACAGTCCAGAGCCTAGGGCTCAGGCTGGCAGAAGGTCTGCTGGAGCTCCGCTCTCCACCTCAGCCCAGGCACCTGGTTCTTGTTCAGCTCACAGTTCTTGTACTCAGTCTCCCCCTGCTCCTGGAAGGTGACGATGACGAAGCCCACAAAGATGTTCATCATGAAGAAGGCAATGAGGATGATGTAGATGATGAAGAAGATGGCCATCTCCACCCGGTTGTTGTAGACAGGACCCATGTCCTCCTTGTATGAGTCTATGGCCTGGTAAAGTAGCCTTGGGATGGGCAGAGAAAAGTCTGGGCTGGACTGGGGTGATGAGGCAGAGTGTCAGTCCAGGAAGGTTGGGTTTTACCCCACTGGCCATGGGGAGCCAAGGGAGCTTTCTGAACCATCAAGCAAAAGGAGGGAAATTAGGACCATGCCAGAAAATGCTGGAACAGGTCCTGGAAAGGGACCGCTTTTCAGTGGGATGCCCCATCTACCCTAATCAACGAGTAGGGCTTCCCATGCAGGCAGAGAGGCCTACACCTGTTGGGGGACGAGGGACATTTTGTCAGCACCGCCAGGTCAGGCTGTCTTTGGGGTGGCCAGTCAACATACTAGTCTTCCAAACCCTCCAAGCTGGTGGGTCTGTTGAGCGCTTACCACAGGCCTGGCATCACAGCGCAGCGAGGGCTGCAGAAGGGCAAGATGGCTCCCTGGCACTGCCCGCACCATGCCCGTGTGGGACCCAGGCCCCAGCCCTCACTCACTGAGGCCATCCCTCAAAGGTGGACACCGTGAAGAGTGACATCATGGCCGAAAGCACATTGTCAAAGTGGAAATCGCTGTGTATCCACTGGCGCGGACGCAGCTCCATCTGCGTGGGGTCCCCATCCTTGTACACGTAGTAGTAGCCCCTGAGGTAGGGAGGCTCAGTCACTCCACTGTGCAAGGCCGGGCCGCCTCCTCCCCTCCCACATCCTCTGGGCCTGGGCAGTGAGCACGCAGGAGAAATGAAGGCCAAGATCGGGGACCAGAGGAGACACTGCTGGGCACTCCCTCACCGCAGTTACCCAAGGAAAGACACTTTAGGACACCCCTGCTGGGCCTAGGGGCTCAGGTTCCCCAGGTCCCCCTCACACAAGGTCCCCCATCCAGTGGCCGTCCCACCATGTGCCCTCAGCCAGCAGCGCTCAGCCCACCTGCACTCCTTCTCCGTCATCTTGGATAAGTCATTGCAGCTGAAGAACTTCCCCTGTGTCCCAAGAAGGAGGGAGGGAGGGAGGGACACACATGGTCACGGAAACATCATTCCACGGGCTACGGAGGTGACTAGTGGAAGGGAGAGGGGAAGGCAGGGCATGTGGAAGGAGGAGCCTTTTTCTTTCAGAGGGGGCAGGGCCCCAGAATGGTCTTTCTCCTTCCCCGTCATCCGTCATCCGTTCCCTCAGCTACCCTGTGGGCTTCCCCACCAGGCCTGAGGCTCCCAAGGCTGGGAAGCCAGTTCCTTAGCAGGAGCCTTGGCTGCGAGCCCCAGGCTGGGCCTGAGGGGAAGGGAATATGGATACAGCTTGGCCCTGATCCTCCCTCAGGCAGACCCCTGTCCCCCACTGTTTAGGACGCCCTCTTGGGGTCTCCCCATTACAGACCAAAAAGAAGGGTTGCCCCACCTCCCACCTTCCCTCTCCTGCCAGTGGGGTGGCCACAGGGCTGCTGTGGGAATGAGAGCTACAGGGATGGAGCCCATTGGGCCGTGATGGTGCAAAGTGGAACAGGGGTCCCAGCATGCCCCTGCCCGAGGGCCTGAACAGACCCCAGCGCTGTGCCCCCCTATACTGATTTCAGGCAGAGCGGTTTCTTTTTTTATCTACATCACAGGCTGGGCACCCACAGTGCCCAGTTTGTTTGAAGAAAACAAGTTGATTGCTAGGTCTTCATGTGGCTAAATGAAGTTTGAAATCCATGGAATCTGGTCGGGTTCCCTCAGAGGCCCCCTGAGGGAAGTGCTTCGGTCGAGGACATGGGACTAGTCGAAGTCACAGCTGTCCTACCCGCTGCAGGTGCCTACTCTTCCCACCCCCTTTCCAGTCGCCGGAGCAGAAGGGCCAGCACAGGGGAGGCAGGTGACATTGGGGGAGAAGCAGGGAGAGGACATACCTGCCACCGGGCAGGTTTGAGGGGACTTGAAACCAAACACTCAATTTCATATAGAAAGCAAACTCTTGATGTGATGGGGAATGCATGCGACAAGGGTCCGCGGGGGAAAATGGGAGGTAAAATGCCACTTGGAACTGATGTCTGACCATTACCGGAATGGGCAGTAGCTGGGGGTCTTTTGATAAGAGACTAAAACACAGGGGGTGTTTGGGGTTTGCAGGACAGCTGCTCTTGCTTGGAAGGGACACAGGAGCCAAAGGAAGGAGTTGCTTATTCATTCCTTAAGGGAGTGTATCCTGTGGGCTGTCTACAGGCCAGGTCCAGGCTGGGTGCCCGGGTCAGGGATGAGTCAGACACAGACTCTGCCCTCAGGAGGACCCAGGGCCCCTGGCCTGGCAGTGGAGGGGGCAGGAGGATGAGGGAAGGGGGCAGCCCTCTGCTGGAGCTAGGAGAAGGTCCCACGCAGATCACAGTAAGCACTGTTTTGAGGCTCAGCTATCTCAATCTCGATGCGGTTTCCTGGGTGATGCCCCCTCCACCGCTCCAGAACAGTAACCCACAGGACCCATCTCCCTTCAGGTCATCTGGGAACCCCATCCTGACTGCTCTCCCCAAAGCCTGCTCCCTGCCCACAGGGAGAGACTTGTGGGGTTTGCTTCATGACCCCTGACCCCTTCTCAGCCTTAGCAGAGGCCTGGCCCAGAGAAAATGCTCCATAAATGTTGTTGAATGAGTGAATGATTGTAAGAGGATGCCATTGCCTAAGTCTGACTGAGGTGACATCATCGTGATTATCATGCTCCGGGGGGGCAGGAGAAGATCGCGTCGCGAGAGGCAGTGTCAAGGGTGTTGGGAAATGTATTCAGATACCAATTTCTGTGTGAAAGCCGGAGGCATCCAGAAATCAGCTGGGTGGGAGGGGACATCCTTGCAGGGCTGATTCCTAGAGAGGAACTGCAGAGCTGTGTCCTCCCAGGAAGGTGAGAACAGAATGAGGCAGCTCCCAGACTAGAATGATGGCCTCCCTCCCTCAGAGGCTCCTGGTAGATAGGAATGATGCCAGACATAGCAGCCAGGAGAATGGGGTGCAGAAGCCTAGCTGACTGAAGAAAGTGGAGTGGATGGGGCTGGAGTGAGGAGCATGTTTAGACAAGCTTGGCAGGATGGGAGGGGCGGCAGGGGTGCTCACAGGGCCCGGCAGGTAGGGGAGGGGCCTCCATCCTCAAGGAGAAGCCACGGAGAGCCAGGAAGACAGCAGGTGCAATGGCCATGGCGGCCAGCAGAGCCACGGGGGCCAGGGAGGGGTATCACCCAGGAAACCGCATCCAGACTCCAGATGGCTTAGCCTCACAACCCTGTGCACTCAAGTACATCTGTTTGCACAGTTTGGGGCTCCCTTTGCTTAGAGGCAGGGAACAGACCAGCTCTGGCCTTGGCCTGACAGCTGGCCCCAGAGCTGGGGAAGGGAGGCAGGCTTCCTCGCGCTGGCGGGGCTCACCTTGAAGAGCTGGACGCCAATGCAGGCGAACATGAACTGCAGGAGGGTGGTGACCAGGACGATGTTCCCGATGGTGCGGATGGCCACAAATACGCACTGCACCACGTGCTGCGGAGGGAGACGGGGTCAGCACCATCCCACCCTTGCTATCCCTTGCTACCTCCCAGCTAGGTGGAGGCAGAGAGACGTTCCCGGGGGACACAGGGCTGCCCAGCCTCATCCTCCTCCCCCTCACTCCCATTTGGCAAAGGGGATGGAACACACGCTGGGCTGAGGTTTCTAGAGTCAGGCCCTTGCAGCCCCTCTTTCCTGCTCCTGGGGTCTTGCACACGCCCTCTCACCTTCAGGCCTTTGGCTCTGTTGATGGCCCGGAGGGGTCTGAGCACCCTCAGCACCCTCAGGATTTTCACCACGGAGATGGCGCTGGACCTGGAGGAGGGCAGCCGAGGGGTGGGGGCTGAGGACAGCTAGCTCTGGCCTGGCCTAGCCGCCCCCCATCTGCTGCCTCTCCACCTGAAAGCCCTCCCACCGTTCCCCACCCTCCCGTAGGCTGCCCCTGTGCTCTGCCCCAGGGTAAAGCCGCCTCGTGCTAACGGTAAGGGACTCCTCCCCCGCTGGCTACAGGCTCTGTTTCTCCCATCAGACTGGGGCCCCCCCAAAGGTAGGGGCTGTGCTCCCCGCAGTTGCTGGAGGACTGCCTTCTCCTCGCCACATCCCCTCCTACTTTCCAGGACACTGCTCTGCCGGCTGAGCACGGTCCCTTCAGTCCAGTTGGTGACACCCCTGGGGGCCCTGGACCCCCATCCCCGGCCCTGAGAATCCCTCCCCTTGCAGCTTGGGGCCCATCAGCATGCAGTGGGTGGGGCTCCACTCCAAGGAGGGGACCCCCCTCCCCAGGCCGGCCCCTGCCCCTGGCTCACTCGAGTCCCATTGAGATGAGTGACACGGCCACCACCAGCAGGTCCAGGATGTTGAAGTAGTTGCGGCAGAAGGAGCCCTTGTGCAGGAAGGCGCCATAGGTCGTCATCTGGGGGCAGAGGCAGCATCCTGGGTGGGGGGGGGGCTTGGGAACAGGCCTGTCCCCACAAAGAAGGGTTTCTCGAGGCAAGAGCCACCTGTCTGCTCACAAGGCACTCGCTGAGGCAAATAGCTGCCAGGGGTCTCTGTCCTTCACTCCACTCCTTGCTGCGTCCTCAGGGCTGTTTCTCCCATTCTCTGCTCCCAGTTCTGGAAACAGGACTTCTCACGGGCTGCTATGCCACACTTGGCTCTCTGAGCTCATCTCTCTGCTCAGAGGCCATAGGGCGCCCCAGTCTCCTGTCCCCTGGGGCCACAGAGTGGGGAAGCCCCAGCCCCTCTTTTCCCCTGCACAACATGATGAAATGCCTATTCCTCCTCCCCAGAAGGCTTCTTCAGAAGTCACCTCTGCCCTGAGGGTTGCTGAGTCGGGCTGAACAACCCGGCAAGGACCAGAAGACCTTCACAGGCCCCTGACCCCTCCTGTCCCCGTTGCCCCACTTTCTCGCTGGTCTCTCAGCTTCTTTCCTGTGCTCTGTGATAATCTCCCAGGCCCTTTGCACCAACACATTATACCCTTGAAGTCTGATGAGCTCAAAGCCTTTCCAGGCATTGAAGGTGATTTCATCTCAACTTGTCTTCCTGACTTCTGAAGCCAGGCCTCCCGTGCATTCTGTGCTATGTCCCAGCCCAAAGGGACCACTTTCTCCTCTCTGAGCACATCCCAAACCCCTTCTCACAATGCATGTGCTGTTGTTCTGTCCTCTCGGACTGGCCCTGCTATCTCTCCCTAATGAAGTCCTGTCCAACCTCAAGGTCTAACTCTAATGCCACCACCTCCAGGAAGCCCTCTCGGACCTCAGGGAAGCCACCGTCCCTCTGCTCAACTCCTTTAGTATTCAAGGGCCCTGATGTAAGGAACTGTTCTGAATTCATATTGCAGCTGCTCTGGGCTATTCTTCCTGCAAAGCCCCCCTCTCCCCTCTTCAGTCATGAAGGTGAAGGCTGGGGCTACTGGGTCTCAGTCACAGATGGGCCCTCCCTCTGCCTCCCACACCCTCTACGGTGGTGAGGGTAACGGTGTGAACTCCGTGTGTCCGCCCGAGAATGGGAGAGCAGTGATGTGCTATGGGTAAGGAGGGGGAGGGCCATGATAGGGCAGAGCTGCCAGAAACCCACCCAGGGTGGAGGTCACTTCTCTGGGGACTCCTGGAGAGGTCATGTGTCACAAAGGTCTAGGAACAAATCACAGCTCCCTGGGTCTATTCTTAGGCTAACTGTGCCTTCCCTCTGGGGGAAAAATGCCCAAGGCTTCATAGGGATGGGTTGTGCTCACTGAGAGGTGCTGAGAGGTGCACAGGCTGCAGGTTGGTTGTACTTCATGTCCCCACCTGGCCACCTGCTCACCTGCTTGCCCAGCTTACGAGCAACAACCCCATCTGCTCTCCTGGGTCTGGTGAGTCCTTCCCTGATGTTCTCCGCTTTCCTCTTGCTTTTCCCTGCAACCCGGCCTCTGAGTGAGGGCAGCGTGTGTAAGTTGGAGCCACGTCAGGTCTGTTTCCTGGCCTGTAGACACTGCTCACCCAGGCTATCCTACAGCCTTCACTCACCTTGAGGACAATCTCCACAGTGAAGACAGAGGTGAACGCGATGTCAAAATACCCAAGGATCTGGTGAAAGCGTAGGGGGGACAGAAGTCAATGAGAGGAAGGGCTGAACAATGATATCATTATTATCTTCAACACTGTCACCACCACCACCACCATCATTGCCATTACCATCACCACCATTACCACAGTCATCA